GAGGGAACGTTGAGAACAGGGAAAAATCTTATTTAGCTTCAGCTAGCCGGGTTAGCCTGGCTGCACTACTGCAGAATTCTTGGTCATATCTGTTGCACATTTAATACACTCATGTTTTGTATTATTATTATTATTATTATTATTATTATTATTATTATTGTTATTATCATTATTATTATCATTAAGTGCTGTCAAATAGTTTCTGACTCCTGGCGACCATCTGGATGATGTTCCTCCAGAACCCATGAGTCAAACACAAGGCCTGCAGGCCAAGTCAGGCCCACGGCATAATACTACTCAGCCTGCGAAAGTATTTAATTTTCTATTATAATTAGCTTGTTTCACCCTGAGCTGCACTACAGTCCCCAGCATGCACTGCAGCATAATGTTTGCTCTGACCTCCTTCCTCCAAAACAATCTGAGTCAGTGGTTACCCCCAAAAAATAAGATGCCTGGTGTCTAGTTCAAGCAAACAGGCAGTTTTAACCTTTTCAACTCCTTGAGACCACCGGTGGGTCCAAAACACACTTCGTCATATTCTTCATAACTTTCATATTTCATAAGCTACATTCTGAAGGTGGGGGTCGTATGAGAGCTGTAACTGTCTTCTTTCCAGTCAAATAGATGGTGATGTAATTTTAAACCCTTATAATAAAAGAAGCTGAAGTCACAGTTTTTTTCTACTGAAAGTCGACCCATTTTTCCACAAATCTGGGCTGTAAACTATAAACAGATGGCGTCTCTTCAGTGATCTGCTCTGTAAACATTATTATTATAAAATAATACAAAGAGCGTCTAAGACTTTTGTCTTTCAGCAGTAAATTGTAAGCATATAACAATATGTGTGATCATAAAACACGTTCTCTGTTCATTTTGAAATAAAATAAAAATATACATTTATTTCATGAAGTTACTGAATAATCTGCCCTATGATTCGGTCATGAATTCAAATGGACAAACCAAAATATACCCTGGAGAATAAGAGGTTTAAAAACTACCTCCTGGGGATTTTAAAGAGGCTTAACAGTTACCTGTAGCTAATGTAGCCTATTGTTTTATATAAAACATTTTTTTTTACTTAAAATTATTTTTGAACAGTTAAAGTATTCCGTGCCTGTTTGGCCAGTTCAGTTCGTGGCACAATGTTAAGTAAGAATGGAACAAAAACACAGCTGACCCACTGATTGGTTGAGCCACTTCTGAATGGCTGGTTCGTGATTCCTCTAATTGTCTCCATCCATCTTGTAGCTGGTCGTCCTCCTTTACCTTCAGCTCTTCCAGGCATATCGTTATTTTCCAATCTTCTCAGAATGTGTCCAAAATCAGAGCTTCAGTTTGAGGAGAGGTGAGGCTTGAATTGGTCAAAAATCCATTCGTTCGTCCAGTTAGCTGAGTGAAACAATATGCAGACCCCTCATTGACCATTTGAGCTTCTAAACACACCCACTGACCGCTGACTTTAGCACTTGTTTGCCTGGCTAAATGCTGAGATGTTACTATAGAACCGTGGGACAAACGTTTATACGACGCTGACTTTTTATTTTTCACATTCCCAGTTTTACGTGAGAATCACACATCTGCTTTCGACAATAAGCAGTAATGGCCACACGACACACATTACTGGACATAGTGTGTCAAAACAATGGCATATGATACCTTCTATGACATGTTTATGTAAATGTAGTGAGCTAATGTGATTTATAAAGCGTGTCCTCGTGTATCGCCTGAAAAGTAAGTGTACAGGAGAGAGGGCAAAAACATGAACTTTTACTGTAAGTTAATGGAAAAAGATTTTATTCTGGCTGATTTTTTGGCATTTTTGTTGGTCCATTCATCATGTAATGTTTACACAATGTAAAGGACAGTTTGTATTTTATGTCAGTTTGTCCCACGTTAATTTGTCCTCACACGACCCTGAGCAAGATTAAGTGACCCTTATTAGTCCCACAACGGGTAAATTTCACCTCTGCATTTTAACCCAAACACCACATACACACCAGTGAACACACACTAGGAGGCAGTGAGCACACTTGCCTGGAGCGGTGAGCAGCCCTATCCACAGCAGCCGGGGAGCAGTTGGGGGTTAGGTGTCTTGGTCAAGAGCACTTCAGTCATGTACTGTCGGCTTAGGGGATCGAACCAGCGACCTTCCAATCACAAGGCCGGTTCCCTAACCTCCAGACCACAACGTTTATTTTGCCCTAAACTGAAATTTTGTTCAAAGGCAACCAAACCTGCTTTCAGTGGAAAGAAAAGAGGAGGAGAACATAAACAGAAGTGTGGGAAACCAAATCGAGGAGTCCCTGAATTTGCAGGAAAGCACAGTAAATGGCATCTTTTCTTATTCAGTATGTTCTCCGTGTCCCTTCCGTACAGCTTATAACTAACGTGTTTAAATTAGATTATTAAAACAATTTCATATTCATGGTGAAGTGAAATACGTTCAAAGTGGTCTGCCAGAATACGAGTTTCTACATAATTAAGGCTCCGTTCTAGAGAAACTTACAGAGTCAGAACTGTTCACAGTGGTGGTGATAGGAACCAGACGTCCACCTCTAAAAGCTCCCTCACAGAAACTTTCTACACTGTAAACCTGCATTTTGTTTTAGCTCAAATTGTCAGTTGTACATAAAACTCACATCATATCACACACATTGCTCAACAGCTTTACGTTAAGGGAACGTTTTTGATGATTTTGTACACCCAAATGGCATTTCTGAGTTGAACTAACTTATCGCTATTTAGTTTAGTCTGTTGCTATGGCAACTTTGAAACCCCACATTCAAAAAATGATGACATTTCTGTTGGTTTTAATTGTTTTTCTCATTAAAGTTGCTGAACAAATGTGTGAAACTGAGTGAAGTTAAGTAAGCTGTGAAATACAGTTACATGTTTGCTTTGTTAGAATGATTTTATTAGATAAGACGTATATTTCTTTCCCATTGGCTCTTGGCTCTGTCTGTTTGCATACTGAGTGTTTCTTTCCCTTTGTTTTACTCACCGTCAGTGAACTTTCATTCCACCCAGGCTGCCTTTCCTCAGGCGAATGTTTTTTTATATATGTTTTACTCAGCTGCCTCACATTGTGTTGTTGGCTAAGAGTGAAGGTTATTGTTCTCTTTGCTGATGGGAGGGCGTTAGTATTGGTCAGTGACCACGTTCACAGTATAGATTAACCCTTCGGTGTTTAGCGAAGTGGTTAATATCACTTAAATAAAAAGAAATTCTCAATCGCCTAGTGAAACATAGTTAAATTGCAATTTCAAGACATTAATTAGAATTTACGAGTTGCACAAACGTATGTTTGTTATCCTAACTCAAAAACGATAGTTATTCTAACTCAAGTTTTCATTACACATTACTTCATTTTTTTAAGGCAACCGGTTTCCTCAAATTTTTTAAGTAAATTCAACTTATCCGGGCTTACAGTGTACATGAAACGGTTATGAATTCATGATCATTTAGAGAATATTTTGACCTAAAACTGTCCATTCATGGTCAAGAGGTACGTGCAGGACGTTATAAGGCCAAATAGTACCTAAAGAAATCTGCGAAGTGTCCTCACTGCATCAGCTCAGATCTCATGCTTTTGTAAAGACAAATTCAATTCTGTCTCATCTCTGTCGGAACAAAATCTCCAAAATGGTAACTTTACAGGAGAAGGAAAAACATCCTCAACTTCTTAACTTCCTTTTACTGGTCATAACTTTCATGTTTTCAATTTTTTTCAATTTATTTTCAAAAAAAAATTAAAAGTGGTCTCAAACTTTTGGACCCCACTGTAGGTCCACCTTAAAACTTTTGCTGTACTTTTACGGGCACATTTACAGGGTTTGCATGAAGAATGTACCTTTTTTCTGACTGGGTAGAAGGATTTTCAACACTCTCAGGCTTTTGGACCTCACTGTAACCAGTGGGCGGAGTTGGGCTCGACCAAACTAGAGAGAAGAACTGGGTAAAAGAAAGTTGTTCACTCCCACAGCCGTCACACCCTTTACACACCTAATGCGCAGGTAGCCGTGTCGGTGCTCCTCTGCTCTGTCTGTCTGTACAGCTGTCGACCTGAATGTGTGGAGTTCTTATCTGGAAGCAGACTCAGAGCTCCCACCTTCCTCTGAGTTCTCTAATCAGCTGTACATCCTCTCGCCGTCCTGCAGCATTAAGGAGTCTGTAGATAAAACGCTGGCGATATCCCATAATTACATGCTCTAAACCGCAGGCTCAGTGAGTGAGGACACCGCCGGCAGCACCGCAACCGCAGCCCGAGCAAAGACGGTGAAGAGAAACAGAGCGAAACTCAGCCCTGCAGATTTAACAGGAGAGGAAGATTTCATGGGTGTGTGACATTTACTGAGAGAGAGAGAGAGAGAGAGAGAGAGAGGGAGGGAGAGAAAGAGAGGATTACTGAGTTCCCTCACTTCAGAGAACAGACTGGGAAGGCCATATAATAATAAAAAATAAAATAATAATAAGTATTATTATTATTATTGTTGTTGTTGTTGTTGTTATTGTTATTATTATTATTGGTTGTTATTATTGTGTTGTTGTTGTTTATTTTTATTATTATTATTATTATTATAACACAAAAAACTATGATAATAATAATAATTAACTAATTATTATTAGTAGTAGTAATAGTATTGCAAACTTTGCTGTCAGTAAAACGAATCATAAGCCAAGAAATGAGAATTAAATAAAATCAATTAACAAAATAACAGTATATAACTTACATATAACTTATATGCAATAGTATTTATCTTCCTCCTTTTTTTGTATTTCTCTCCTTTTTTCTCCTCTTTTTCATTTTCTTCTTCTTCTTTGTTCTTTATCTTCTTTTTCTTCAACTTTTTCTTCTTTTCCCTTTTTTCTTCCTTTCTTCTGTTCTTTCTCCTGCGTTATGGACAGATTTTTTTATAAGCTGATGCATTAAAGTATCCTCTCTCTCTCTCTCTCTCTCTCTCTCTCTCTCTCTCTCTCTCTCTCTCTCTCTCTCTCTGTAGAGGTCAGTGCTCCTGAGGGCAGTAATGATAATGATGGCAGTGTGTGTGGCAGCGACTCTCCGTTCTACAAGCACATTGAAGGTAAGCTCACACACGGCGCTACACACCACATCACACAACACCTTCCTCAGCCTAACGTCTGTCTGTGTGTGTGTGTGTGTGTGTGTGTGTGTGTGTGTGTGTGTGTGTGTGAGAGTGTGTAAGCCATACTTAAGTGGGCTGTTTCGGGTCAAGCTGTGATAGTAAACTGTTGTTTTGTTAGAGAGCTCTTCTGTGACTAACCAACGCTGTCTTACACACACACTCACACACTCACACACACACACACTCACACACACACACACACACACACTCACACTCACACACACACTCTCACACACACTCACACACACACACACACACACACTCACACTCTCACACACACACACACACACTCACACTCACACACACACACTCTCACACACTCTCACACACTCACACACTCACACTCTCACACTCTCACACACACACACACACTCACACACACACACTCTCACACACACTCACACACACACACACACTCACACTCACACACACACTCACACTCACACTCACACACACACACACACACACTCACACTCACACACACACTCACACTCACACTCACTCTCACACACACAGACACTCTCACACACACACACACACACAGACACTCTCTCACACACTCATATTTACACACACACACAAGAAGAATAGCTGTTCTGTGCTCTGTGTTATGGTGTGTGGTTTGTGTGTGTGGAGTTGCCATCAGGATTAAGAGCTCTCCACAGTGGAGTGTTTGATGAATCACTGTAATCATGGAGGCACTCGAGATGCCTTCATAAAGAAAAACAACAATAACATACAGACGCAAACACACGGCTCACTGTAACTCTGAGAGCAGCCGCACAGAGACGCTGCACCGTTCACACTGTCTAACGAAGTCAGGTGGTTCATTTGATTTTACGTGTGTGTGTGTGTGTGTGTGTGTGTGTGTGTGTGTGTGTAGGTCACAGTATGGCAGAGACCCTCACTGTTGCTCTGCGTGTTGCTGAGGAGGCCATAGAGGAGGCCATCACTAAAGCAGACAGCTACAGAGACAGCCTGGTTAGTCTGTTCATTCATTCATCTGTTCATCCATCCATTTATCCACCCCTCTTTCATTCATACATCCATCAATATATCTATCTATCCATCCATCTATCTGGTTCAGTGCTTCTCTGCACTAACACACCTGATCAGTTTTCAGTTCAGGGTGTTTTCTTGGCTCGATAAATCATGGAAAATTTCATCCATCCATCTGTTCATCCATTAACCTTTACGTTCATCCATCCATCCACCCATCTTCTCATCTACCCGTTCTTCCATCTGTCAACATGTAGTTATCCATCTATTTGTATGTTTGTTTGTTTGTTTGTTTATTTATTTATTTATTGCACTAACTCACCTATTCATTCATCCATCCATCCATCCACTCGTAGATCCATACATTCATTTATTCATTCATATGCAGTAACACACCTGATTCCGTTCAATCTATCCATCTGCTCATCCATCCACCATTCTCTTAATCTATATATTCCATCCATACATAAACACTTCCATCCTTCTAGCCATCCATCCATGTATCTATTCATGCATCCGATCATTTTTATCCATCTATCAACAGCATTCATCCATACATGTATTTGTTCATTATAAATGAATAATAATTCATTTATTTATGTAACTCACCTTTTCATCTATCCCCTCTTCATCCGTCCGTCCATCCTTCCGCTCGTAAATCCATCCATTCATTTATTCTTTCATACTTCCATTCATCCATCCATGTATCTAATTCGTTGCTTCTCTTTTTTCTGTTACTCTGTCAGTTTTACAGTTATGATCAGTGTATAATCAGACAGCTCTCTTCCCTCTTACGGATGAAAACGCACTTCAGTTCATCCCGTCTACAAGTTATAGTTCCTTATGCTGGTGGTTCTCAACTCACCCTGAAACTTCATCATCACTTTTATTTACATAGTGCCTTTCCCATGCTCAATGATGCTTTATAATCAATACATAACACAGACACACACACACACACACACACACACACACACACACACACACACACACACACACACACACACTCTCCACGGTTCCCACAGCTACTTCACATTTCTCTGCACACAGTGGAAGAGAACTTCTTTAGAGTAGTATCACACGCGGCTGCTGAACGCCTGGAAAAACACAGCATTGCTGCTATAAATAAACCAAACAACAACTCCGCAAACATCCGTCAGCTCTTTCACACCTCAGTCGTTCTGAATGAAGCAACATGCACATATTTATTCACCTTTCAGTGTAGTTTACAGGGGGTACTTACATTTACTCAAGTCCATGTACTTCAGTCAAACACTGATGGACACTCCTGAGTGTTTTCAAATCATAATACTTCTACTCGAGTATATTAGCGAGGACAGGAATCTCCTTTTTACCTGTTCATATTTACATATTTACTCATTTCTGTGTTTGTCGTTCAGTTTTGTTGGTGAAAACATCTGCACTGATTTGTGATCAGTCACATCTCTACGGAGCCCCTAAGGGGCCGTGGTTAAAAAAAAAGTTAATGACGTTGCGTTCCCTCACAAAATATATGCTCGTCAGAGAGCAAGCAAACGTAGGACCAGAGGTGCCCAACGACACTGCCTACATTAGAGCTCTGTTTTTAGCCTAGCTAACGTTAAAAGCTGTTTTCCCAGTTTGGCCAGTCTGAGCCGAGTTTATTCAGCAGTTGTTCTCTGCAGTGTCTGTAAATAAAGGCTTTTACTGTACGAGGAAACTCGATCTCAGTCTCAGTTAGAGCTCAATAATAACAGAATCATGTTTGATTTTGAGAAGCGACACGTCTTTATATTTCAATCCAAGATCAATGTAAAATTCAATGATCTGCTTCATGTTTGAGCTTCAGCGAAGCACAGCTTTTGCAAGCAAATGCAAACCGTTTGCATCATAACGTAAAACATTTACGAGGGAATGAAACGTGATTTAACTTAGGGGCTCCGTACATCTCTGACTATAGCTTTAGCATTTTATTATAGACCAGAGGAATCCCAAAAAGAGAAGAATAAAGTCTAACAAACTTCACAAAAAGTTTACCCAACTGCACCGACAGATGCTGGATTTACTAGGAAGCTCCACTGAAGTTCTGTAAGGTACTCAGCAGTTTTTTGACCTGATTCTTTTGTTTTTCCACTCAAGTTTTGTTTTGGGAAGATACTTTTACTTTTACTTAAGTATCAATACGTTTACTTGAGTGTGGGTTTAGTCCACTCTACCCACTTCTGGTGTGATTAGCTGATAATCACATAATACTGATATAAACTGCCAGCAATTTTTTTTTTTTACTTCATCACTCAAAATGCAGAGATTTTCAGGAAATATTATTCTTAAAAATGCATTATCAAATTAGCTAGTAGAGGATTGAGTCTTTCTGTTTCGTCTTTGTTTCATGCTCAAAAAAGGAAATGTCCTCTTTAGAGGGTAAAGGAATTGTTTAAAATAATATTAGCAGTTGTTTATTTCTTGCACAATTTAAAATACACACAAATAAACAAATAACTTAATATACGGTGCAGAGAGGGGCAACAAAGCCTAATAGGCTTATATAAAGCCTCTGTCTAATAATATTACAATTTCACAATATTATGGGAAATGCAGACTAATATACAAAACAATAATGACATAAACATCAAGTACATTAGTATTGTTCAGGTATAACACCTGTCTAAGATGCTAAATACATAAGCAAGTGGTGATTTTCATATTTCATAACATTTCCTTTCATTTTTACCACTTTCTTTGCTTTTTAAGGCAGGTGATTAATACAGTGATATTTATGACTTGGTTATCATGCTGTGAAAATGTCACACTATTCGAGATGCTTTACTGAAAAAACAAATAAAAAAATGTCTACCAGATGTTTTATAGCAGTGAAAAACAACATTTAGCCACCCAAAACTTTATCCATCACTCCATTCCTGCAGAGAGCTGGTAAAAGATGACAGATGATGTCATACAAATACAACACCTTTCCATGAAGCACAGCTGGATGGGTAAAATAAGTGGTATAAGATGGGAAAAATGATGGATAGACAGGTAGATCCACTTATATTGCTGCAGCGCAGTGAACCACCTGCATCTTTTCATTTTAACCATTCATCCGTTTTTATTGAATGGGTGTCTTACTATCCAGCAGCCTGTGACTCACCTTTTATCACTTATACTCTCCCTTATACTCTCTCTGCTCCTCCTCTCTCTCCCTCCTCCCTCCAGGAGAAACAGAATGAGGCTCGGTATCTGCGGGATCATAAAGAGGAGCTCATAGAGGAACTCGCCACCACCATCGTGCAAAAAGTGAGTTATGTGTGTGTGTTTGTGTTTGTGTGTGTGTTTGTGTGTGTGTTTGTGTGTTTGTGTGTTTGTGTGTTTGTGTGTGTGTGTGTGTGTGTGTGTTTGTGTGTGTACATGCAGCTGGGTCCAGAAGTCAGAGACATATTTATAATATCTGTAATCTTGTTTATTTTAAGGATTAAATAAAAACATTTTAGGATCAAAAACACTGAACAAAAAAAAGGTTAAAGAAGATCCAGATTCTGCACTCTTTCTAGGCCACTATTCAAATTATGGTCAACGTAAATTTGTGACCATTTTAAGGCCTTTAAGCTGTTTTTAGTCTTATTATTTTTAATGTAATATGATTATAATCAGTGGTAATCCAATCTAACATTCCAGTTCAAATTACACCCATACGCTTTATGAAAACAGTGTAATTATACATCGTTTTAATGTTTTGTCTATTTCTTGTCTCTGTATTTATTACTTATTTGAACTACCTTAGTGTAAAAGGTAAACACTAAATATTTCAATAATAACATTTCTGAAGTTATATTTCATCGTTTAGACTTGAAGATGGTTCTTCAAGGGTTCTTTAGTAAATATGAATGAATGAACACTATGAACGGTATGAATGAACACTCAGAGAACCATCTGCATGATGAAAGGTTCTTTTTCTTCTTCAGATTAGTGGAGAAGGTGCTGTAGATGGTTAGATACAGAACCTTTTTGAAAAAGCTTCTGTACAGCACCAAAAGGGTTCTACTATTATAACAAGCTTGACATCGTAACAATAGAAGAGCCCTTTTGGTTCTATATGGAACCCTGTTCTGTATATAAAACCACCTACAGCACATTCTCCATCAACCTGAATAACCATGTCACCCTGCAAAGAACCATTAAAGGTAATGCAAGGGGTAATTTGAGTGTTCATTGTTCTATGTGGAACCATTTTCTTTACTAAAGAACCCTTAAAGAGAGATCTTTTTTAAGAGTGTACTTAATGTCCATGTAAATGACTGTAAATCAAGTCAATAAGAGGCGGTCTCTGACTTGTGCACGGCACTCTTGCTTGTATTACTTCTTAAAAGAGTATTTATTGATTATTTACACCCCAGATCATTCAGAGGGGGAAACGCCCTGAGATGCAGGCGGAGTATGACTTTGTTTGGTCTCAGGCTCAGAACAGTGACCTTCCGTCTCCGACTTCAGCATCAAACACACACACCTCAACACAGCGCACACACGCCTCTCCACAGCTCACTCCTCCTGCCCCGGCCAGCCTCAAGAGCTCCTACACACTGTGGGTAAGATACACACACACTGATTTGACAGTAAACAGACCGAGCAGATACCTCTCAGCTGCAGAGGTGTCAGTTTAAAATGCTTCTACTGAAATTACATGATGATGCATGTAAATATGGGGGAAATGAGGAGCTGCACTGATTTCTCATAATTAAATGATTAAGATGTAAACAGATTCATTCAAAGTGGTCTGAAGATCTTACTGAGTCAGAATTGTTCACCTCGAAAAGCTGCCTCACAGAAAGTTATTGCATGATATACGTTCTTGATGCCTGAGGCCTTGTTTTCCATACGTTTGAGAGACGATTCTGACCTGAAATGTATTTTAAGAGCCGTTCGTAGTGAAGAGGTACATGCAGGGCATGAAAAGGCAAAATAGTCCGAAAAGAAAACTCAACCTTCAGATTTATCACTATTTTACCATCACTAACATAAACTCAGACTCGTGTAGGTTCACTGGTGGTTCTGGATAGTAAGTAAAATGTCTATATTTGTGTTGTAGTCATGGCGACCCCTGGTTCCTATCACCACCACTGTAAAGAAAGAGTCAGGAAATTTCTCCACAAATGAGCATCAAATCTAACAAGACTGAATGACACTGTTTACATCCCAGCGACAGAGTTTTACAGACTTACTATAAATGCATAGATCACTGTTATCAACGATAATGAGGTTATGAGATGAGATTAACTGACCCCGAAAAAAACGAGGTGATCCAGGTGAATCTGAATAATTTAGACCACAGCTACTCTGTAAATATGTCTGGATTAGATTTGGCCCCATCGTTCTTCTTCCTGAGTTACCCTACACACTTAAAGATGGTTCTTCAAGGGTTCTTTAGAGAAGGTGATGGTTCTATTTAGAATCATCAGTGGTCTCACTTTATGTAGATATGTAGTCCCACTATAGTCCCCTATAGATCATCTACAGATTATCAAATTAACAAACTATCAGTTGAGACTCAGTTGATGGTAAACAGTGCTGGGGTTGGATTTGGACCAGGGTGAGGGTTGGGTTTAGGTGGTGGGTTGAGGTTAGGGTTAGGATTAGGATTAGAGCAGGTTTAGAGTTAAAGAGAATTATGGTCAATTTAGTGGATATTTAGCTGAATGTAACCTGACAGTAAATTAAGTATCTAAAGTGGACCATCCAAATAAAGTGTTACCTCAAGAGTTCTATATAGAACCATTTTTAAATGGTAAAACACGTCTTCAGATTCATGGAGAATGTGTTGTACATGGTTCTATATAGAAGCCTTTTAAAAATGGTTCTATACAGCACTAAAAAGGGTCATTCTATTGATACAAGCTTGAATCACTAAAAATACAAGAACCTTTTTGGTGCTATATAGAGCACATTCCTCATCAATCTGAAGAACCATTTCACCGTGCAAAGAACCATTTTAGCATGAACTGGTTCTATATAGAAGTCATGGCTCTAAATAGGACATTGCCTTTACTAAAGAACCCTTGAAGAACCATCTTTTGTCAGAGTTTAGGGAAAAAAGTGTTCTGGTATGCTAACCCCACTCTGTTGTCAGTTCCTTTGGAAGATGATTCTGATGATAGTTTATGGAAATCATAGAAAATATGAGTTTTGCTGCTCAGAGGATTTTATTATACCATCAACATTCCATATAAGCTCAGAAGACTCGTGTAGGTTCACTGGTGGTTCTGGATAGTAAATAAAATGTCTATATTTGTGTTGTAGTCATGGCGACCCCTGGTTCCCATCACCACCACTGGAAAGACATCTGAACCATTTCACACCAAACCACTCTGAATCTCTCGAATTACATCT